TAAAACTCTCAGTGCAAGTGCCTCGACTCTATTATCCTGAATAACAACTCTGATAGAAGTTTTAGCAAAAGAAAGAATTGAAATGGCTAATAGACAGAAGTCTTTGGGTAATTTGTGGACTTTACTTATCCACAGAGAATTACTCACATAACTGCCTGAGAGACTACGGTCAAGGTCAGACAGGTTGGGACTCATTCAACAACAAGGTAGCCTGTGCTGTCTTATATATGGGCAACAGGAATTTGAATATTATTCATTTATTCAACAAATGTTGGTGGAACACCCACTATGTGTCAGAGCTCACCACATACCCTGAAAACCCCACTATTTCCTGGCCCTTGTTACTGTCCCTTATGCTATTCCACAGAGGACCTTGGCAAAGCTCACAGCCTGACTCTTAGAAACGCTATTCACCTTCCAGTTATCATGAGACTTTTACCAACCTTACCCTAATGCAAGGGCTACCAAACTATGTCCCTGGCCAAATCCTGCTCACTGCCTTTTTTAACATAAAGTTTTCTTGGAACCCAGCCATGACCATCTGTTTATGTATCATCCATGGCCGCTCTCCTGCGACCACAGCAGAGTTCAGCAGTTGTGATAGGGACAGTACAGCTCCAAAGCCCAAATTCCTACCTGGCCCTATATAGAAAAAGGTTGCTAAGCCCTGAATTAGATCATATGACTAAGTGAAAATTCATCTCTCCTGTACATTTCTGCTTAGGAATGAATAGGTTAGGTCATTGAAAGCAGAGAACCTTTCTGTATCTTTGTCTTTTCCTATAGAGCCCAGGAGCAGGATCGAGTCAGGTTGAGAGCAGATACAGAAAATTAAACACGTCCTTCCCTACATTTTGCTTTGAACAGATGAGCGCCTTGGAGTCGCATGGAAGACAGCGTAAAACCACTGGTGTTGGGTTACTCTGGCTTGTAATTCCTCAGAGTTCCAACGTCTAAGACTTCCAAGCCTCAGTTTTTGGCCTCTATCCCTTTGCATATTTATTTCCTGATCTGATGTGGAATTAGAATTAAATAGGAGCTGTGTGCTTGAATTCCACGTGGCTGGCT